CTTTGGAGAATCTGTCAGAACATCAGGGAGCCTGTCTTGGGCAAAAGGCAGGTATGTATTAAGTAAATGGAGCCAGAAAAACTTCACTGTAGGAAAAGCTTTCAATCAGCATGCAGACAAAAAAAAAAAATCTATTTTTTTAACCAGACACCCCATGACTCTTCAGTGAAAAGGTATGCCTGCTGTTCTTTTGCCTTCTAGCTCAACCCCAGGGATTTGCTTTCAGAAGAAGAAAATCACTGAAATTCTCAGGGGGGAACTTCAGTGCCCTTCCATTTACTTAATACATACCTGCCTTTTGCCCAAGACAGGCTCCCTGATGTTCTGACAGATTCTCCAAAGCTAAGCAGGGTCAGACCCGATTAGGATTTAGAAGGGTAGCAATTTCAGGACTGTAGATTAGATTGATATCTCCAAAACTATGCAAGAAAAAAAGCAATGGCAAGCTATTTCTACAATGCTGCCAAAGAAACAAGATGGATATGTCCCTATAGACATCAGGAGTTAAGCTTAATTTGACAGAGGCTTTTTTAAAAAAATCCAATAGGCAGTCCTTGACTTACAATCATTTGTTTAGTGACTGAAGTTACAACAGCACTGAAAAAAGTGACTTATGACTGTTTTTCATGCTTATGACCATTGAAGCATCCCCATGGTCACCTGATCAAAATTCAGATACATGGTAACTGACTCATATTTATGATGGTTGCAGGGTCTCAAGGTCATGTGATCTCTTTTTGCAACCCGACAAGCAAAGTCAATTTAGAAGTCAGATTTACTTAACAACTGAGTTACTAACTTAAAAACTGCAGTGATTAACAAGCACTGTGGCAAGAAAGGTTGTAGAATTAATAATTGACTTGCTTAGCAATGGGAATTTTGGTTCTATTATGGTCATAAATTGAGTATTTTATAGCATTCTCTTCACTGGTCTGTAGCCTTTCTATTTCTATTAAATACCAGGGGAAGATATCATAAACCAAGTTTAATCTTCTAGCACGTTTTTCCATTGATAAATGTGGCAGAAATTTCTGAATGGTTCTTTCAACTTGGATGTGAAAAATAAAATCCATTTAGCATCCTTGTGATCTATAGAACTTTATTTTGATTGTTAAAATATACTGGGGCTTGCCACTTTTTAAAACAAAAGCTAGAAGCAAATAAGAGGAAACAAATTACAAGACATATCACTCCATGGGAATTTCAGCGTTAAAAACTTCCTCAGTATGAGGTTGGGACATTGTCTTGGAAAATGGCTTTGGAAAGCCAAAGGGGAAAGGCGGAAAGAAAACATCTTCCTCTCAGAAACCTGAACTTGCTCCGCTCTAGTTGACTCCTGAACCTAACCACTGGGAACATTGAAAGTACATCTTGAAATGTTAGAGCTGAATTACTGTGAGACAAGATTTGTGGAAGGTCGGGGTTAACTGAGCCCAAACTAGGCTAGTAACGCCTCATGTTTACCAACACAAACTATGCTATCGTGGTTTGCCAATGACTCCTCTGCTTACAGTCTTCTCTTCAGCCTGAGGGAGTTGTCCAAGATGATCAACTGGCGTAGAAAACCCCGATTGGGAATAATGCCTCGATGGTCCTTGACGCTCTTTATGGCCTCCACCAAAGTCAAGCGGTGATAAATCATGAGGTAGGCAAGGACCAGGGTAGCTGATCTGCTTACCCCCACGGCACAGTGAACAAGGATTCTCCCTATGGGAAGAAGGTCAATTTAAGAAAAGGTCAGTATTAAACATCATGAAGAAATCTGGGGCCAAGTGATTCAGGGGAAGTCATTTGTTTCAGACTTTTGTTGGCTTCCCTGACAAAGAACCTGATACAGGACTACTTCTTTTTAGCTTTCCAGCATAATTTGAAATTATGTATATATTGTAGGAGAAGAAGAGGAATAATCTGGGGAAGGAGTCAAGAGAGGAATCAGCCTGCAGTCTATGTTCCCACAAGGGATCCCAATCCAACCCTTCTTTAATTAACTCTTATCTAGCACCAATTTAGTGCTGAACATTAGTTGACTACATTCTTGTTATAGATTATGAGCAATAAACCAGTTTAACTGGAATTTAATGTGTAGTCCTGATTCTTTGCACCAATTTACATGGTCATCCAATTCACAAACTTGACTCTTGGCTGTTTCTGTAGAATTGCAAACCAGAAACACAAATCCCAACATGTCACCATCGATCCCACACTACAATCTTTCAATTTCAAATGATTACAAATGGGATCATCCAATGTTCTGACTTTATATCTGGAAGGAAGAATCAACCCTTCACAGCCTTACAGAACAACAACAAATTTGAATTACCCACATCTTAGGGTAAGGGTGAGGGATAGGCCATTCCAGGATGCAAGTTCTGAAAGTGACATGGTACATGTCAGTGGTGGGATTCAGCCAGTTCGCACCTATTCAGGAGAACCGGTTCTTAACTTTCTAAGAGGTTCAGAGAACCGGTT